CACTTCACTATGATTGAGTGCAGCCTCTCATACTCACATTGGCCGATGCCTTAACATAAATCTGGCTGTACACAAACATACACTGAGACCTCTCAACACTGTTCTTGACTTGGGTTTAAGATATAGCAACAGTTTGAACTTTTCTGAGCACATTGCATCTCAAATATCCAAAGGTACAAAGCTCATTGAAGTCATGATGATAAACTTCAATAATATCGAATCGAGACTATTATTATACAGAAGATGTATCTTACCCATTCCTGAATATGCTACTTTAGTTTACAGTAATTGTAGTAATTCCAAAATGATAACCACGGGTTGTAGATATAGAGAATATGCACAAGCTAACTGGAGAAGCTTTCGTATCTTAACTAAGCACTGCGATAGAAAATATTTTACAAGTAATAAACCTTTGAAAGCCCTTAATATATTCAGTGTTGCCACTAAATACTCCCTACACATTGAGGTCCCCATTAAAAATTTTTTAAAAATGATTCCTTACATCAACAAAATAATCAGATCTAATCTCGTAACGACTAGCGTTGTTACAAGCCCAGAAGATTTATCCTTACCTAGTGACAAATGTATTATTTCGACATTTCCAGCAATTCTAACATCCATATGTGAAGTTGGATATGTTTGTATAACCATGCACAAGTGTATGTATGTTTACTTGTATCTTTTGCGTCCTTAAATGTTGATTTGTAGTGTTATTAGTTCCTAACCACACGATCTTTGAAGCCAAGCATATAATCACTGAAAAGATTTATTTTCAGCATGTAACGTTTAAAGAATTGATCAGCATTGCATGGCTGAGCATTGGAGGCGCGGTCATGTGTGACTTATCATTATTCACGTCAAATATATTATTCTATCTCCAGCCGAAATGTGTTCTTCACAAACGCTATGCATCACATAACTGACTGTCACGATAGGATGAGTCGGTATAGACAATTATGCTACTTCCAGGTATGATCTTATGAATTAGGTTGTCACATAATAACAAATCTATGATTTTGTGATTAGGTCCATTATCATAACAGTAACGATTAGTGTACTAGTGCTGAACCAAGCCATAAATATACAGTCACATTTCGATCAGTTTGAGTGGGCTGAAAAGTCTTTCTCCATGTTACACAATGTACGGTCTGTCTGAGTGAATGAATGCTTGAGGCAAACTCTTCTTACCTAGTTCGTAAACAACCTTTATTACCATCGTCGCCCAACAGGATAAAGTGGTTTGCATTATTTTTTTCTGGTTAGCGTTTTTTAGCGAGTTAGTTTTCTACGGGATGGGGTCGCTAACCCCATACCCAAAATTCCTCGTTTATCCGGGCTTGGAACCAGCAGTAGCCGGTGTGTTGTACCATATTTGCTTTACTTGAGCGTGCCAAAAGTCAGCATGAAAGACCAACAGAAAGGGGAATTCACAGCTCTCACAACCGCATATAAATCCCTGAACCTATATCGCCTGCTGGTAAGGCTCATAAAAAATGCCACAGACTACAATATATATTCCGTACTGTGAAAAGAAGTGGCCTATGATTACCGGAACGTCACCTGTGACCTACCAAGTTAGTGGTTCGTCAACGGTGCTCCGAATTCTGATAATAATAGTTGTATCATCGAGAGTAATGTCACTGCTACTAAATTCAATCTCAGCAATACATACGTTGCTTTAAGCTCCACGAAGTTCTGATGCAGATGGTATCTAATCACACCCCAACAAAATGTCAGGATCGGGCACACCGATGCCGCTACTCAAGATATTTGTGCTGTCCTTCAGAATATACTTAACTTGGTCGACAGAAATGATGGATCTAAACTCAATTATCTTGTAATTTTGGAGGATAAGTAGTAAAAGCCCAGAGTTATAAATACTTCGATTTTTCAAATCCTATGCGAAATCGAATTCTCTTGGCACAACCGAATTCTTCATAGTTGATGTAGGCATTGTTGACGACCCTGATACTATTTGCGGATTATTCGGTGAACATTTATCGCAATGCCACAACACTAAAACCGAAACCTCTATCATTAAGTTTCCAGTGTTGACATCTAGACAATGTATGGAATACACGTGAAAATATATAAAGTTGAGACAAGGAACAGACGGCAGATGTCACATATTTTCTGGGTTTAGCAATGCCATTGTCCGTTACACCTTTTTAATCGAACGATACCAACTCAGTCAAATCCGAAGTCAGCGATGAATGAGTTCTAAGAAAATATATAACAAGTTACCAACGTGTTGAGACACATTAGATTTAAGCACGGCGTTCCGCTCGTGATGTGGTGCGGGAATGTGACCAACCTCATTCAAATAGTGTGTCCAGTAAATATAATATGGTCAGCTCCAGTGTCGAAGAATTACAAGACTGTTTACTTTGGAGGTTTATTTATTGCTATAAACACAGAAAATAATATGGCTCTCCGAAACCAAACCATCATCCTTTGCTCCAGCCCAGATCCTAAGGAACAAACAGTCCAATTTTTCTGCTTAGTAAAAGTTGAGACTTCAAAGTATGGAGGGACATCGATGTTAAAAATTTAACCTTCTGACGTCATGTTTGTATACTAACATCCCTTTTTCTATCATCTTTTCTGTTTTGTTGTTTGTTTGTTTACTCCAAAGTTGGTTCAAAATGGAGGAACGTGCTAAAGATGTCGTTTGGATGGACCTCTCTAGGGGATGAGTGGGATGGTTGCATATATACAATGCTGATAATGTATTATGCAACGTTTCACTCTACCCCAGGGACTCTACTTCATCATACGTATTGTGATCATGAATTACAGTTTACTTGGGAGGGTAATAAAATGGTTGTGTAGTAGGCGCTTAACAATTCTGAAACTTTTGCGACGTAATTTTGTTGCTAGTTATTTTTTCTTAGTAACTTGTTCCGCTTCATGCCATGCTAAATGTTCACCTATGGACTAGTAGTATATAAATTACTAGCCAGATTGTTGGAATAACAATTTTCGCGCAAAGTAGTAACCATACTGTAGACAGCATCTATTGCACTCTAGGGAATGATGCCACAACGCAAATCCGCAGCAGACATCTTAAAACCAGTACGTCTGAGTGTAGCTGTTGTAGAGGTAAAGGAGATATCCGAAGAGATACTTGACCTTTCATAATACTACTTGTTAGTTTGAAAAGGACAGGAGGCTTGATGGCCTGTCAGTCCTGCAATGGATTCTCAGCTGATCCAACTTTCTTTTGAAAGAGTCGACGGGTGGAGCCTCAACCACGTGCTAAGGTAGTGAATTCCACTCGTTGGTGATTCGATGGGAAAGTCGATAGTCAGCTGACAAGTAATTTGTTTTGGGCTTGTGAACTTCCTTGGAGTATCCTCGTAAATTTTCTGTTTTTGGAAGACAAGAAAAATGAGGGCATATCAGGTGCAGATTTATCACTAAGCAATTCAAAAACTAATTAATTCGCCTTTAATTCTACGATATGACAACGGGAAAAGGTCTAGCTTGGCCAGTCGAGCATCGTACGGAAGCTTCGCCATTCCGGGAATCAGCTTAGTTGTTGCCCTCTGAACCTTTTCCAGAAGTTCACAGTCTTTTTTTAAGCAGGGGCCAGCCGCTTGTATGCAGTACTCAAGTTTATGACGTAAGAGCACTGTATACAAAGTCAAAAAAGTTTTAGCGTTGGCACGACTAAAAGCCCTACATATTGACCATAAGGTCTTAAAACCTATTGCACGGCAGTGTGCAGTAGTCCTGGCTGACGACGACTCCTGAGTCATTATGTGTCTGAACTACAAGTAAATCGTGTACGTATCTGTACCTTGATGACAGATATGCATCACGACACACTTGAAAGTATTTATCGGCAACTGCCGGGTTTGAGACCAGCTAATTTCTTAATGTCATTTAGGAGTTCTGAGCTATCACCCTTACATCGTATCGTTCTCCATATCTTGACATTGTCAGCATATAGCAAGACCGATGATGATAGGAAACGAGGAAGGTCATTTACATACAAGAGGAATAGCACTGGCCCTAAAACTGTACCCTGGGGCACTCCATTAAGCACAGTTTCCCAGCCAGATAACTTTGAGTTCACTCGTACTCTTTGTTGGCGCCCAACTAGGAAGTCTTTTATCAACATCAATAGATTACCTCCAATCCCGATATTTCTTAGCTTATATAACAGCTGGTTGTGCGGAACCTTGTCAAAAGCTTTGCTGAAATCGATGTAGGCTACGTCTACAGGTAACTTTTGGTCCTTAATAGAGCACCACCTTTCACGAGCGACTAATAAGTTAGTGAGACATGAATAACCTATTCTGAAGCCGTGCTGCTTCTCCGAAAGTATCCGGTGTTTATCGAGGTACCTAAACAGCTCCTTCCGAATAATCTTTTCTAAGATTTTAACAACCCACTAGTTAGGCTAACGGGGCGGTAATTCTCAGGTTTGTGTTTCGTACCTGTTTTGAAGACAGGACTTACTATGGCGTTTTTCCAGTCTTTGGGTAAACGACCCTGCGTTACGGATAGGTTAAAGTGTTCGCAACAAAGATAATTCCTTCAGTTGCCTAGGATGTAATTCATCGGGCCCCGTGGATTAACCTATATCAAGCTTATTTAGTAGACCAAAGACGTCGAGTTCTTTAATGGTCATGCTATCCAGTGTATGTGTGGGGGGATCTGTATACGCTGATGGGAAGGGTGCTTCTATGGTGTATACATTGCTAAAGTAGTTTAAGAACACTTGAGCCTTACCAAAGTCGTCCTCCACTAATGATGCAGCAGTACTGTCTCCCCATAGTGCAGGAATATTTCCTCTTCTCTTTGTCCTTTGGTTTATATAGGAATACAAGCGTTTAGAACATTCTATGGACTCCTTAACAAATTTTTCTTCGTACAACTTTCTAGACTTACGGAGGGTCGAGGCACAGGTATTCCGAGCTTTTTGATACTGAGATTTTGTCTCATCAGCTTTCAGTAACCTAAATCTATCCCATATTTTTCTTCTCTTACAGAGAAGGATGCGGACCTCCCTACTGAACTATGGTGAAGAGTTTCTCAGCCCACTTGGTATAGTCCAAGAAATATGGGATGCGGTAACTTTTAAGTATAAATTTCGAAATGCGTCCCAAGCCGTTTCAATTGAGGACTCTGGGTCTATTGTCCAATCTACTAACGACGCTGAGTGCATGATATCTGGTATGTTTGCTTTCCAGACGTTAGGTCTAGATTGAGCTAACGCGTGCTCGTGATTGACGGTTATATGGAAGTCGAAGGTCAAAACTGCGTGATCACTTTTACCTAGGGGTGGCATCTAATGGAGGTTCGCAACGTCATCCTCATAGTGAGTCAATATAAGATCTAGTAAGGATGATTCAGTGTCCGGGTCGTACCTAGTCGCTTTTTTCACATGTTGAACTAGGGCACATGTGATAACCACATCAACTAGTTCCCGCTCGAAGGACTTTTCTGACCATTCAGTTCGCAGATTTTCCCAGTCTACCATAGGTGCATTAAAATCCCCTAGGATTAGACATCGACCACTTTGTGACCAAGTGTTGAGACTGCTTAACAGGACTTCATTTACCTCACAGCTTGAACTGCGATAGACCAAACCAATCAACAGCTCTTGTTCGTTGCATTTCAAGCGGCAGCTAACTAATTAACACGTCCAACTCTCATGGGATACACTGTCGATAATGGCAAATGGGATAGCTCTCATCTTACCTGATGATGAGGCAAGATCACTGCCCAAATATTGTTATCAGGCTAACATGGTCACCTGTAAATACGTTAAGGTCTTATCTATTAATCATTCGGCTTTTTAGCAGTAGAATTTCACAGTTTGTTTTCTCTCTGTGCATAGCTTCTGAACTGAACCTCAATTTGTAACGATATTTAACTTTAAATATGTCTTTTAGTCCCACAGTGAGTTCTAAATCTGATATACTAGTATGCTTAGTGCTCCAGTCTAAGATGTTATCATTCTGATTTATAAACAGTGTACCTCGGTATTGTGTCGTTCTAAATTCAACTTGCATTGCTAGGGAAGTCCCAATCACTGCCTTCTCGCGGTGGGGGTGTTTACGAAATTGAAAGGACGAAAAGCAAATGTCCGGCGCTTTTATCGGCGTGATGGACACGGATGGTCCACCTAGGGGAGTTGGAAAACCTTGATTACAAACCAATGGTCCACATGGGTTCCAGGGTCCTGAGGGAACAAATGACTTGTGAACCAACTATTGGTCATCGGCTTCCATGGGACTACATCTCCTGACGTTGGTCCACTACCTTGTGAATCAGACCTTTAGGTCGAAGGCCCCGGGTGTGGTTCACTAGGAAAACCATCTGCTTCTGTCTGGGCACAAGGGTAGTTTCATAGCCCACATACAAATCAAGTGACTTGTGTGGCGCATATGTATTCAGTGCCCCTTAGTATGTTGAAATATATAAATAAACAACTGATATTATTCAATCGCATTTTTAATAATAATCGAGTATCCTTCACCTGCATTTTAAATTGGCTTCCATAGCATGGGACAAAATCAAAGATGAAATAACCCCTGTTTTATTTATCTCCTAGAGTTAACCTTCTCATTTTAACTTGACTTCTTCATACTGGAAAAAAGTTGAATCTGGTCACTGATATGCCCTTATAGACTAATTTTTTGGAATGGCCATAGTCAAATTTATGAAGCAACTGAAAAGAAAGAATAGCAATTTCCGTAAGTTACAATGATAACGACAAAGTACTTATGACACTTTATGGCCGTCTTAACAACTGGTTTATGTAATACCCCTCCATGAATATATATGTGTGTAAACTTGGACCCAACTTTAATTAGACTACAAATAGTCCACCAACTTTCATGTGAATGGTTGTCTCTCGAGCTATTACTAAATTTATGTTCTTACAGAAGAGCTGTACTTGTTTTTAGTTTAAACAGTCAGACTCAGAAAAATCCATAAATCTGTCGATAGTTACATATTTAGAATATCAACTCGTTTAGATTTTAACCGACTTCGTTTCTCGTCCGTTAGTATTAGAATCTGGAGAAAAAAGTGTCTAATTTACAGCCGATATGATCGATTAGCTTTCTGTTCATTCTCTTTATTCAGTCAGTCAGTCAGTCAGCTACAACTATGATTTTATAAACATTATATGCAAAGATAACTCCGCCTGTAGCTCTTATAGGGTTGCTGCCGGTCCCAAGCCCGGGTAAAGGAGGAGGGTTGGGCATGGGGTTAGCGTCCCCATCCCATAGAAAACTAACTCGCTAAAAAAACGCTTACCAGAAAAAATAATCCAAACCATTTTAACTCTGCCCTGGGAGTTAGAAGGTCTTCATTTAGAAGAATTATGACGCTTCATGGTGAAAGCCGAGTTCCTTCGGAAGCCACGAGGCCGATGCCTCTTCTAACAACCAGAGCAAAAATTTTATAGGTACATGGAACGTTCGAACAATGTGGGAAACCGGGAAGACCAGTCAAATATCAATGGAAATGAGGAGGTACAACTTAGCAGTACTGGGAATCAGCGAAACCCAGTGGACCCAAGCTGGACAGAAAAGGCTAGCTACGGGAGAGATGCTGCTATACTCCGGTCACGAAGAGGACAATGCTCCACACACTCAGGGAGTCGCTCTTATGCTGTCCAAAGTAGCACGAAATGCACTTGTAGGATGGGAATCTCATGGATCCAGAATCATCAAAGCATCATTCAAAACAAAGAAGGAGGGGATCTTAATGAATATTATCCAATGTTATGCACCCACCAATGATAGCAACGACGAAATTAAAGATCAGTTCTACGAGCGGCTGCAGTCAGTGATAGAGAAATGCCCAAGAAAGGACCTCACCATTCTAATGGTAGATCTAAATGCCAAAGTCGGAATAGACAACACTGGATATGAAGATATTATGGGACGACATGGACTGGGAGGAAGAAACGAAAATGGAGAAAGATTTGCAAATCTATGTGCATTCAACAAATTGGTCATAGGAGGCACAATATTTCCACACAAGAGTATACACAAGGCTACATGGATCTCACCGGACCACACTACAGAGAACCAAATAGATCATATTTGCATCAACAAAAAATTCCGAAGGACAATGGAAGATGTGAGAACCAGGATAGGTGCTGACGTAGCTTCAGATCACCACCTAGTTGTAGCCAATTTGAAACTGAAGCTAAAAAAGAACTGGACAAGTGGACAAACAGCAATACAAAGGTTCAATACAGCCTTCCTTCGAGATACTGTCAAACTCAATGAATTCAAGATAGCTCTCAACAACAGGTTCCAAGCCTTACGAGATCTACTGAAAGAAGAAGAAACTACTATGGAGGACAACTGGAAAGGCATCAAGGAAGCATTAACTTCAACGTGTCAAGAGGTTCTCGGTCTAAAGAAATACCATCATAAGGAATGGATCTCTACAGAAACAGTGGACAAGATCAAAGAAAGGAAGAACAAGAAGGCAGCAATAAACAACAGCCGAACACGAGCAGAGAAAGTCCAAGCACAAGCTGAATACATAGAAGCAAACAAGCAAGTGAAGAGGAGCATTAGAGCCGACAAGAAGAAATACGTGGAAGAACTAGCAACGACGGCAGAAAAAGCTGCTAGAGAAGGAAACATGAAACAGCTTTACGATACAACGAGGAAACTATCAGGGAAATACAGTAAACCAGAGAGGCCGGTCAAAGACAAAGAAGGCAAGCCAATCACCGAAATTCAACAACAACGTAACAGATGGGTAAAATACTTCGAGGAACTCCTGAATAGGCCGGCTCCAATGAATCCAGTGGACATCGAAGCAGCACACATAGATCTTCCTATAGATGTCAATCCACCAACTACGGAAGAAATTAGAATGGCCGTCAGACAAATCAAGAACGGGAAAGCAGCAGGACCCGACAACATACCAGCTGAAGCACTGAAATCAGACATCGAAACAACCACAAGCATGCTTTATCTTCTATTCAAAAAGATTTGGGAGGAGGAACAAGTGCCGATGGACTAAAAAGAAGGACACCTCGTCAAGATTCCAAAGAAAGGAGATCTGAGCAAATGTGAAAACTACAGAGGCATAACACTACTGTCAATACCAGGGAAAGTCTTCAACAGAGTGTTGCTGAACCGGATGAAGGATGCAGTAGACGCTCAACTTCGAGATCAACAAGCTGGATTCCGTAAGGATCGGTCGTGCACAGACCAAATTGCAACACTACGGATCATCGTCGAACAATCAGTTGAGTGGAACTCATCACTATACATCAACTTCATTGATTATGAAAAGGCATTCGACAGTGTAGATAGGAAGACATTATGGAAACTTCTTCGACACTACGGAGTTCCTGAGAAGATTGTCAATATTATCCGGAACTCATACGACGGACTACAGTGCAAAGTAGTGCATGGAGGACAGCTGACAGATGCATTCCAAGTAAGGACCGGAGTCAGACAAGGCTGTTTACTCTCTCCCTTCCTCTTTCTTCTGGTGGTCGACTGGATTATGAAGACCTCGACATCTGAAGGAAAACACGGAATACAATGGACAGCTCAGAATCAATTAGACGATTTGGACTTCGCAGATGACCTAGCCCTCCTATCACGTACACACGAACAGATGCAGATGAAGACAGCCAGTGTAGCAGCAGTCTCTGCATCAGTAGGCCTCAGCATACACAAAGGAAAAACTAAGGTCCTCAAATTCAAAGCGGAGAACAGCAATCCAATCACTCTTGATGGCGAAACTCTGGAAGATGTAGAATCCTTCACATATCTGGGAAGCATCATCGATGAACAAGGAGGCTCAGATGCAGACGTAAAGGCGAGGATCGGCAAAGCAAGGGTCGCATTCCTACAATTGAAGAACATATGGAACTCAAAACAACTTTCAACCAATATCAAAGTGAGAATCTTCAATACGAACGTCAAGGCAGTTCTACTGTATGGAGCTGAAACTTGGAGAACTACAACAACCACAATCAAGAAAGTACAAGTATTTATAAATAGCTGTCTTCGCAAGATACTCAACATCTATTGGCCGGATACCATCAGCAACAGCCTTCTGTGGGAGAGAACAAACCAACTTCCAGCTGAAGAAGAAATTAGGAAAAGACGATGGAAATGGATAGGACATACATTACGCAAATCGTCAAACTGCATCACGAGGCAAGCCCTAACTTGGAA